CCCTGGGGAATCACAACACATATTTTAGGTCCTATAGTCCAGTGTAAACACACAGGCCTTCAGTGATAAGAAGTAATACCTCACACACATACAAAGAGGACGAAATGGCTTTTTAATATTGTCTGGTTTGATTCTGGTTTGTGTCTGATCATGGCTGTTTCTGGCATTCTTGGCACATTCCCAAGTATAAACTCCAGACAACATCACACCTACATGAGCAGTACAGTTCCTCCTCCTAACCATTGTCAGTTCTTCCCCCAATCTGTTCTGTGCTGCCGACGGATAACATTGCTTCTTAAATTGATGTCAAATATCAGGAACCAGGAGAGAGGCAACCAGAATATTTCTACATGTGCTTACTTTGTGACTCAGACTCAGAGTGGGGAGGTAATTAATGGTCTTAAAAATTCTCTTGAGAAAAGCTCGTCCTGAGTCCTGGCTGTACGAGCTAGTATGTATAATTAAATAGAAATGATGCTATTGAGGAACTAAGGAAAGCGGAATGCACAACTGGTTGCAACGGTGTGATTCTATTCACATATTTGCTGAAGACCATGCATCCACGGCATATTCTCTCTTCATTTCAAATATCCCATAGGTCCCACATGTTTAAATAACCATGCAGATGCTCAACAAATGGCAAAAAGAAGGAAGAAGAATAGAAAGCACCTTCTCTAATCATAATAATATAGTAATAAGACTACATACAGTTCATGCATTATGTAGCCTATTGCAGTTTCAGTGTCTGAGGTCATTAAACTAGGAGCTCAGACAAGAAGAGAAAGAAAGATGGCCACCTTGCCTTCAGATCTGGTGAGAACCCTATGGTCCCATCTCTAAGGACTATCTTTAAAGACTCACTACTATCTTCTTCCTTTGTTCCTGACTAGAGTTTTCTCTAACTTCAAATTATGCATTGATTATAATTATCATTTAGTTATATTTGGCTAAAAGCCTCTAAGTATTCCTTACCAATTACTTCTACTCTTGTGGTTAAAAATTCACCACTCTCTTAATACCTATATTCAGAGGAACTTCTATAGTCTTCCATTCACAAATGGCCTCTTTTAATAGGCTCTATGCCAGTTAAATCCCATTAGGAATAAGTATTCTCCTAATTGAATTCAAACAATATTGCCAGTGTGCTTAAGGCTCTGTCTATCCATTTAATTTGATTCATTTATTTTTTGTCTCTGACGACACAAATGGGAGACGTAATAGGTTTCCCTGATAGTCCCTCCCTGCTCTTATGTTTTAATGTTAAAGGAAAATAACACACCTGGAATATATGCATGTTCTACAATGTGCTTAAAAGATTAAAGAATGTTTTTCAATAACAGGAAAACATGGGTTCCTGTATTAGACCTACACCCCTAAACACACAGAGAGGATTTCCTCTTTTGTTTATGTAAATCATATGACATTTAAGGATCCTGAGAAACATGAAGGCTTGCCCTCTAAGCTATTCTGAACTCCTATTTTTATTCCTGGTCTATTTGTTTCCAAAAAGTTTACAGCATTATAAAAGCTCAAACACAATGTAGGATCACTGGGTATTACTGGCATGTTTAGGAGTTTAGGATTCATGTTTTAGGAAGGCAAGCTCCATTTGGGTTTGCAACTGAAATGCAGAGCAGTGGGAACCACCCACATGACAAATGTCTCCACAAAATTCCTCAACAGCGATCATGCTTACACAATGGTCATTTTCAATGGAGGCAGTTAAAACTATCCAATTCCTCTCCCCCCCCACTTCGGCCCCCGTTAGCTTATTCCTTGCCCAGTTCTTAGAGTTTGGCTAGTTTTCCTGGGCACTGAGCCCAGTTTGGTTTAATTTTTGTTTACTGTTATTATCTCTAACATCCTAGTTTCTATTTTGAAGCAGGTGCTTTAAAATTATATTATTATATACACATTATATAGAGTTAAGTAAAGACTTTTCCCCTTCTAAAATCAAAACATTTGCACAAACACACCATTGCTAGAGTTTGAATAACATTATTCAAGGACTCATGATATAAACCCTTTTTTGTTTTGGTGTTTTGGGGCCCAAAGATGTAACAAATCGGTCACTCAAATTCTAGATGTCTAGTGAAAAATAATATTTTCACCTACTCCTTCCAAAAAAGCAAAATAGATAAGTGGTAGCACACTCTGGAAAATACGACCGAATTACCTGGGTCAGTGATCTCACAGTGCTGTATGTCCAACTACTCCCATATTACAGAATCCCAAAGTCATTATTCTGAATGACTTAAAATAAACAAGGCATTTGTGTTATGCCTTTAACATTCATGAAGAAAAACCAAAAATATGTATAGGTATTTTTAAAATTATCTTTTAAAAATGATATTTAGTCACTGTATATCTTTAGAGTGTACAAAATGTTTTTTTCCCAGCATGAAAACAGTGCATATTAGTCATTTAAAGAAGTAAGGTAAGCATGACATTCTCAGGTAATATTACCTAGTTTTTCCATTCTGACTGGACATCAGAATCACTGTGGAGCAAACAGACACTGAACTGAGTGATTCAGAACCTCTCTGTCGGGGGCGGCCCTGGCACCCATATTTTAAATATTCCCAGGTGTTTTTGAGGCACGTAGACTACTGAGGACCATACTGAGCTTGTGTATTTATTTAATCATTCAGCAAATATTTATGGAACACTTATTATATGGAAGACACGGAAGTAAGTTTTGTGGGCAATTGAAAGATTGAATGAAATATTAATATGATCTTAAATTAAGAACTTGGGTGAGGAAAAGGGGATAAGAATCATGAAAAAGGTATTTAAGTATAATAAGCGAATACATCTGAGGTGCTGGGGAGTGGCTTTAAGGACAAAGGTAGAGGGGGGCAAAGTCAGGGAGGCTTTGGGGAACAGTCACATCTCAGGCAACACATTGTTCTTCCTAGTTTGGACTTCTGTGATTTCCCCACACTGGCTTCTCTAACTAGCTTGTCCTATAGTCTTAAATAAAGAAGACTGATTTATTTTTTAAAAAATCAGTGGTGAGTCCAGCAGGTGGTGTGGAGGCTAAGGTACAGGATCCCATATAGCTGACATTGCGGTTCGAGTACTGGACCCAGTGGCTTGAAAATCATGCCGGAACATGTTCACGTGTGACCAATGTCCCCAGAGGAGAATCAAGGAGAAGGGATTGCAGTGTGGCCATTCCACACTGGGAGTAGGGGGAGCAATTTTTCACTTCCCCTGTCTATCTCTCTCTCTCTGTTGAACACACATGTCCTATAGTAAAAACCTAGAAAAATGACAACAGAAAAACCTCAGGGGTACTTCAAAGCACTTAGAATAAAATCCAAGTCTCTTCATGACCTGCAAAGCCCTGTATGGGTTGGTACTTGAGTACTTCTCAATGTAATTTCATTCTACTTCTCTTTTTGTTCACTAAACTCCAGCCATCTTTTCCTCTTTGGACACAGTAACTTCTTCTACATCAGGACCTTTTCATATG